TGGCAAACAACCAACTAACCAACAACAGAGACTAGCCAATTACTGCGCTTCAGATATTATAGAGTACAAGTGTACGCGCAGGCACCAGTGGACTCTGTATTTCTTGCAATCTCAAATTTCGATCGGATGATAATTTGATACGATCGGTGAGAGATCATCAGGAGGCAGGATCGGCTTTACTCTCCGAAGCACGGAGGTGAAATATCGCCAACTTCCCAGCTCAGGGCGATTACTGGGACTTTCTTAACAGAAAGACTAAAACCGCAGCCGTATTTGCTAGATAATACATCACTAAGGTTTGTAATAATATAAAACAAATTCTGACGGATAATAAATATCACTTATTTTCAACCGACTTCAAAAAGGAGGAGGTTCTCAATTCGACTGTATTTTTTTTTTGTTTTTTTTTTTTTTTATGTTTGTTACCTCAGAACTTCGTCATTTATTAACCGATTTTGACAATTTTTGTTTTGTTTGAAAGTGTATACTTCCAGATTGGTCCCATTTAAATTTCAATAAAAAATACCACTCCTAAGGGTGGAAAAATAGCTAATGATGAATTTAACCTACTTCTAATTGTCATATTGACTTGAAAGTTTGCAAGTGTTTCCACTTCCGTTGATAGTACAGTGGTTTGGTATTATTGACCTGATCTGATGGTAAGGCCAGAAGGTGGATAGGTGGAACTCTTCAACGGCTAATAGTAGATACTTTGAGTTTGGGCTTATTTTGTTTGTTTTGACAAGCCTAACACGTTAGAATTCTTACTTTGCTACTACTGTCTGCACTAAAAAGGGAAAAATAAAAACTTTTTAACAAAAAAATAAAAACCGACTTCAAACAAAAGCACTAAAAAGTAAAAAATAACTGATTGGTAGTTTTCATTTACTATACATACCTAATCAAATATTTTCGAAGTCGGTGTGCTTTGCTTTGTATGGGCTGGCACCGATTTCGAAAATAGTTGATTAGGTATGTGTTTAATAGGTAGGCTTTAATTACTTGTCCAAAGCACACCGACTTCGAAAATATTTGATTAGGTATGTATAGTAAATGAAAACTACCAATCAGTTATTTTTTACTTTTTAGTGCTTTTGTTTGAAGTCGGTTTTTATTTTTTTGTTAAAAAGTTTTTATCCCTTTTATTAGACTTCAAAAACCTTTTAAACAATTTCATTTTTAATAATATTCAATGTTACTGATGTCGTTACAATTTTATTATGTATGTTTAGAAAGCTTTATTAAAAGCTCTTTTTACGTCACACCGTCGCATTGACTTAAACACGAAATACATTTTAGGATAATTTCATTAGAATACAAAAAGACGGATAGATTGAAGTTAAACCTTGATTGATGTTTGTTATAATACATTTTAAAGATATTTATATAAACCAATTTTGATTGGAATATTTATGAGTTGAACAGGTGTTATTTATTTTGGTACTAGTGAATATTTTGTACTAGTTAAAAAACGTCGACAACAACGTTACGCTTAGGTGTTAATTTTTACGTAGTCTTGTATACTTTTTTTAGGACTAAAATATAGAATACTAAATTCACAATAGAGTGTAAAGCTACATTAAATAAAAATCTAATAAAAGAGTTTTACTTTTTTTTAATAATTTAAGATTAATTAGTTATAACTTGCTGTTGGTAGTGTTATTCTTTTGTTATTTTTTATTCTTTTGTTGTCTTTGAGATAATTTTTGTTTTCACAATAATTAATGTAATATACTTGGGTATTTTAAAATAATTAGGTTATTTTTAACTGACGAAATAAAAGATAATCATACGGATCTCACATCTGGTCTTTAACGGACGCTCGGATGTCGAAACTTAAAATTTGCCAACATGCAATTGTAAGGTTGCATTTTTATATAGTAAGCGTTTTAATGGAAAATAACATATTAGATTAATTTGTAATGATTTATGTATAAGGCATTCAGTTATGTGACTTTGGCCGAAAGAAATGTGTTTTAAAAAAAATAAGAAAAGGGCGCGGATATTAATTTGTTTTCCCGCGCTTTTGCATAGAGATGTCGGTACCATCATGTAGGTCACTACGAATTGTTTGTAATACTGAAAATTATGATTATAAATTATGTAACTCACTGATGATTATAAAAGTAATATATCACAAGCAAGAAATATCTCGCAAACAGGGAATATCTCGAAGTTTTATTAGGGATCCTACACAATGAAGCTTAACATTTTAGGACATAAATTAGCTAACAAAGTTCGAAACGCTATACTACGCTCCAAACCAAAAATCACTATCATCGCTCACAAAATCAGAAAACTTAAATGGGACTGGGCTAGCCACGTCTGCCGTATGCCTGAAGAACTGTGGGCTAGACAGCTAAAGACCTAACAAAGAACAATATGTCTATTCTTATACAAAAATATTATAAAGTATTTGCAGTCTCAATAAAATACAATTTTTAATGTAATTTTAATTTATTAAATAACTTGTGACCTTTAAGGGACGATCATACTATTTGATCTAAATCATAATATATTCATAAGTCAGCTATGTTTATTATGTCAACTGAGTTTCCACCCAAGTAACATGTCGGTTAAACCACCTAAGTAAGCTTTCTGTTAAATAAACATGGCATTTATATCGTAAAATATTATCGTATAATTATTAAATGTTAATTTTACGTAATATTTTACTGTTATGGTGTATATTTTACCTTTACTTATATATCAAAAGATAATAAGATAAAATAAATAGACGCAATAGGTAACTGAACAAATTAATTCTTGTTAAATAATAATACAATTAAATATTATTATTATTGACATAATTTTCTATTTTTCTTGATTATTGCTATTTATCTATTTGTCTATCAATTTCTTTTATGTTCTTCGATTTTTTTTTGTGTTTAAGCTTTAAAATTATCTGTACCATTTTTTTAATGCCCCGTTGATATGTTATGGAATATTTAACTTTAATTTTTGGGTTTCACAATTTTTTTTTGCTACAAGAATATTAGGTTCAGCTTTTACGCAGAGTAAGTAGACATTTAATCTGCTTTCTGTGAAATACTTTCCCAAAATATTTTACTGAACTGCGAGCGTGATATGAGTTTTTAATTCAGATTTACTACTTGTAAAACTTTCAGAAGAGATATTTAGTTATGTAAGTTCTCTCAGACACGCTGGTAGTCTCACGATGTTTGAAGTTATTCACACATGAAAATTTCAGGGGTGCAAGACCCAAGATTTGGAACCCGGTTTACTCAGTTTCTGAAAGCGAGCGCGTACTGCTGAGGTACCACTGCCATATACTTATCCACGCTCATACACCCAGAATTCCGTCGCATTCGGATAAATGGTCTAGAAATGCATACTTTACCAATAAAACAGACATATATTTATACTTTTTATATATAGTACGTCATATTTTTTTATATATAATCATTGGTTATTAATAATTCCTGCACAATAAGAAAGTTGCAAAATAAAATAAATTTAAACATTTAAAAACCTACAACAAAATATCGCGGTATCCTTTTCTGTAAAAGGAAGCTTATGTTACTGTCGATCAAGACTTTTACCCTCCTGTGAACTTAAGTTAAAATCAATTCAATTGTCCCTCACACTAGAATGGGCTATCTGGCAAATATTATAAAATTCTACTTTTAATTTTCCTTTTAAAGTCTTCCAAATACTGTAGGATTTGAGATTAGTGTCAAAATCCAATTTATATCATGTCAGATTTTTCCTGTTATACAAAGGTATAAAAATTGACTTAAACGTCATTATGATGATTACGATCATTAAAGACGTAATTAGTCTGAAATAGAAATAGGATTTAGTCAAGCTTATAATTTTGTAGGAAAACCTTATATAATTTTGAAAAACTTTTTGCAAAACAGTTTTCGCATTATATTTTAAGAGATCCTCGAGCAAAAGGCTTATATGGAATCTTTATTTTTTACCCGACTGCGGCGAAGCCCAAAAGAGGATTATGTGTTTGAACTATATGTACGAGTATGTCTGATCCTACTGTGCTTTCGTAATAACAAAACGGGTTAACCGATTTTGATGATTCATACGTCATTAGATTAGTCTTCATACTGCGAGTGTCATAAGATATATAGAAATAAATAAATATCAAAATTGCTAATTTCAGGCTCTAATTTGCATGTCTATTAAAAAATTCTTCTTGCAAACCTATCGTGATTGATCGTGGTTTTTAAGAAATGATCACAAAAATATACATTTCGTATGTTTAAAAGTAATTTGGTAATTCAAGTAATCGTCTACATTCAATATTTTTTTGAATATAAAAATATAATCGTAGGCAGTGTACGTAAATTGTAAGTAAGGGTAAAAGGGTTATCACAGCTCAAATAGATTTTTTAGAATTTAAATCATAGAAAATAATTATATAATATTTTGTATATTCTATGAACAGAATACAGTTTATCCCAGCTAGATCAGTTAAGCCGTCTCCGACAATTCGCTATAAGATAATATTTCGAACAAAGTACTTATCTCCTCCTTTTTAGGGTACCGTACCTCAAAAGGTAAAAAAAAGAACCCTCATAAGATCAGTCTCTTGTTCGTCTGTCTGTCCGTGTGTCACCACCGATTTTCTCAGGAATAGGTGGACCTAGCAAATTGAAATTTATACCAGATATTGAAGTCTTTAGTCACTATTGGGTGTATAAAATTCAAGGTCCTGAGTCAACACGTTAGAAAGATATGGGCTAATTTAGATTTTTGGCGAAAACTTGTACAAAGTAAAAATTCCAAAAAAAAAAATGTTGAAAATTAAAGTAAACACATTTCCTACAAAGTACGGAACCCTCGGTGTCCGGATTTTTTGAAGACAATTTAAATAATATTTTAAAATAGTGTCACATTATATACGTAATACTTAATTGGAATAAAAATACAAAGGTTATTTCATATCTCATTAGCAGCGTTTTGTTTCAGATCAGTAACAAAGGTGTTGTGTAAACAATATTGACTGCGTATGACGAAACATGGGGAGCGCAGGCAACAATACCACATCATATGATGGCGACATTCTTAATCCAAGCGAGCTCAGTCTATCAAGAGAATTCAGCGATGTAATGAATATGGATATGTGGCCCGTAGAGAAATGTTTTGAGGAACATTTAATAAATAGCACATTAAGTGCTGATCTAACCAACCACATTTTGGTTGTCAACGGTACTCAAGTCGTATGCTTGGAACATGCACCAGTTTTAACTAGAAATACCATCATTAGAGCAAGTATTCTATCTGTTATGGCACTGTTGTCTTTTGTTGGGAATTTTGCTACTATGATAAGTGTGCAAAAAGGAAAACGATGTCGCAGACGCGCGAGGCCATCATGGACAGCCATATACAGTCTGATATTTCAACTCAGCATAGCAGATTTACTTGTTACTTTATTTTGCATACTTGGAGAAGCTGGCTGGTCTTTTACAGTACAGTGGTACGCGGGAAATATCGGATGCAAATTGTTTAAATTCCTACAAATGTTTGCTTTATATCTGAGTACATTTGTATTAGTATTGATTGGTGTAGATCGGTGGTTGGCAGTGAAATATCCGATGAAAAGTATGGGCACTGCTACTAGAAATGGCAGACTAGTAATCATTGCTTGGGTTTTAAGCTTCATTTTAAGCATACCTCAGGTCAGTTTATTTATAAAATTTATACTTATAATCAAAATATTTGTAAAAACTTCACTTTTTAGGGATTTTAATCATTTTAAGTACCTTGTTACACGTTCTCCTGAACACTTGAATTTTAGATAGTGTGATTATGTTTTCTTACAAAAAAAACTTATTTTCGGTCTTTATTATAAGATCTAGATCTAGTTTCCTATCAGTCAAATATTTTTTGAATTCGAACTGTAGTTATAGAAATTACATTCAACATCTAAATACTTACAAACTTTACCTCTGTATAGTATTATGTTATACTTAATATCCTTTCCTTTATCGACTTTCAGCACACGACAGCTAATCTCACTAAGATTAGGTGTTACGTGTTCTCCGAGGAAAAGGGGTGCTATATCTCCAGCTTCGTAACTTTAGGTTGTTAAACATATATTTGTGGCAGAAAAAAAAACAAATTTTCTTGAACTTGAAGCCACATGACATTAGGCTATTGTGAAAACATAAAAAAATATCGATATTTCCTTGTATCTGAAACTTAAGCACTAGTATAGTATTATATGTATGATCTGTGCTTAAGCTCCACCTCATGAATAATAAAAACTACAGAATATATATTATATAATTTACTCATAGACCGGATGTTTTCAATCTTAAAATTCCTATAATATTGTACAGATCCTTTCCATTGGGAAATCCGACTGGCGTTGAACCTATTTATTTTCTTATACTTTAATATAGTGTAATATAGTGTATTAAAACTTTTAATATAGTGTACTAATTTCTTGATTCTCTTTTCCAAAATATTATTAAAGTATAATCAACAAACATTCTTAATATATAAAAATATATACTATTCTTTATTGCACTTAAAAATAAATACAGTAATTTAAATACAATTTTTTTTGGAATATATAATATATAAAATATTATTATTAATATTTATCACTTACCATTCTTAAAGACCACTAAAAGTAAGTACTTTAAATGTAAAAAGGGTTACTTTTTAATTAAATATTTTATTAAAAGTTTACGCTACGATAAGATAAGGTTTTGTGCAATAAAGAATATTTATTACCTATATAACACTAGCACTGCCCGCGGCTCCGCCCGCGTTCAGATGACCAAAAACTAAATTCTTAGGTGTTACATATTAGTATACTTCTACATTGCAGTTTTGTATTTTTTCTCAGAAATGAGACAATTTCTCTCGGTAAAAAGTATCCTATATGTTGACCCGAATAACCAGATATCACCATACCAAATTTCATCAATATCCTTCTAATGGTTTTTCTGTGATGCGGTAACAGACAGACAAAAATTCTAAAAACTCTAGATTCGGTCTCTGTATCGATAATAATGTTTATTTCAATAAGATTTTCCAAAAAAATATCTAATGTACAGATTCGGCTTAGTTACAATTTTATTAGGTATATGTATAGATAAGAAATATTTGCATGATATTTTCATATGAGAATATTTTCTAAAGAATTTCCTGTATTTTCAGGTAGTAGTCTTTCGATTAGCAAAAGGGCCATTTATTGAGGACTTCTACCAGTGTGTCACCCACGGATTTTATACTGAAAGATGGCAAGAACAAGCGTATACCACAATGTCTCTTGTTTTTATGTTCATTCTTCCGTTGGTTATTTTAATCTCTACGTATGTATCGACTGTGCGAACCATTGCAAGTATGTATTTTTTTTTTATATTAAATTAAGACTTTGTATAAAACATATCATAATAATCTAATCTAGAATATCATAACTGTCTCGGTGATGTAGTGGTTAGCATATACGTCTGCACACCGGAGGTCCTGGGTTCGAGTCCCGGGTCGGACCAAGTTTAGTTATTGAGTCTTTCTGTATAGTAAGCCTCAGTAATACCCCGGAGTTGAGAAATTGTGTTTCACCCCCGTGCCTCAGAGAGCATGTAAAGCCGTCGGTCCTGTGCCTTAACTCTTACCGGTCATGAGTAGTCGTCACATCGGAGTATGAGTGCGCAGGAGATATTATAGTGCACACTTGTGCACTATAATATCTCCTGCGCAGATAGCAAGTCTCAATGAGATTGGCCGCCGTGGCCGGAATCGGTCTACTGTTATTATTATTATTACTATTATCATAACTTAAATAAAAATCTATTTTAAAACCGTACATCCGTATGGCTGCAGGATATAAAGGTTAAACTTTTTTACTTACAACTTAAGCAACAAAAGAAATTACACCTCATTTATATTCACTTCAGCGAGTCGACTCTACGAGAAATCGTTTTAGTTTCTAAATTTCATTTGAACAATGTCTCAGGTAAGAGCTCAGAAATAATATGTGTTCTCAAATAATCCAGTTTGTTGTAAAATCTGCTCCGTTTTTTATGCCCGTGGTTGGGTTTAAAATTAAATCCTTTAATAAAGGAGTCAAGAGCATTTTATACCTATTGCAAATTATTATAAAAAAAAAAACAATATTATAATTTGGAAAATATGAAAGAGTTTTGTTTTGAAAGATATTACGATCACAAAATTTACGATCATCAGTAGAATGCGTATGATAATAATTACGAGTATAAGACTAGGAAATTGCTTTAGTCTATATACATGTCATGTAGATATAGTAATTTAATTACGAGAAAAAAGAATTATTATAATAATGAAGATGGACAATATAATCGGGCTTGTGAACATTAGAAAGGCATCGTCTGTGAATTTTATATCTGTACTAGCGGCTCACCCTCGTTTCGCTCGTGTTCGCCTCTAGAAAAACAAAACAAATCTATCCCTCGGGAATCGTATATTTTTCCGGGATAAAAAATAACCTATGTGTTATTCCAGACTATATCTGTGCCAAATTGCATCCAGATTCGTTCAGCCATTATGGCGTGACAGAGTAACAAACATACATCCATACTCACAATCTTTCATTTTTATAATATTAGTATAGATTTACATGAATGAGCAGTAATTTTCGTCGAGAATACAAAATTAAAGGTAATCTTACCATAACATTTTTAAGGGATTCAAAATATAACTTTTGAAATTATAGTAAGTCCAATGTCGGCAAGCCAGATGTGGGGGACATATATTGTTTCCCCCCCTGTAGATGTAAGTTCCATCACGTCGCATTCATCAACAGCTTCGCCTGCAATATATTGGCCTGTGGGTTAATTATTATTATTATAATCTGTAAAAATAGTTGTAGTTTATTAACTAAAACTATTTTTACAGATTTCAATTTGAATTATTATTCAAATTAAAAATTATTAAAAATAAAAGTAATAATTACTGTTAAGTTAATAAAACGATCCACAACTTCAATTTTTAATTTTATTATATATAGTTTTAAGCTTTCACACTATATTTTAATGTTTTTAACATTATATAATTTCGCACTATGTCAATCTCCATTTATTTTTTTCATACAGAATTAACAAAAATATTTTATTAAGATACAACTACAGTTTATAAAAACCAAAGAAGTTGTAATCCAGCAAAACGATACATCATTAATTCAACAATTAAACCCTCCTAAAATAGTTATATTATCGAAAAAAACGTACTGAATGTACGTAAAAAAACTAACTGGATGCAATTTAACATCAGTTTAAAATTCCATCAATATTGCTATTGACGTAGAAAGTAAAGCGTCGAATGTAAAGAAAAGCTTTAATGCTTTTTAATTAGAAGTGTAGGTGTAGTTATGAAAAAAACTAACTATAAAATATTTTACTATTGAACTTAGAAATATCGAATAATATTTTAAAACTTTTTATCTATCTTTCTATCGTGGGCTAGAAACTTATAAGAAAAAGGAAATAGCCGTCTCCGCTCAAGAAGCTTTTTTGTTCCTCAGAAATAACATAATTTTCCATTAAAGAAATAATATTTTATTCCAAATATGCTTTTTTGTGTTACAGAGATTATTTTTTTACGATTTACGAAAATAAAATTCTTGGTATATAAAACATCAAAGTATAAAATAAAATCATGTTGTTTGATCTGGAGATATTTTTATTTTTAGAAATCTTTTTATAATAATATTTAGTATAATTTTTTTATATTTTGGTGTAATATATGTTAAATATCTGAAATAAATTCGAATCGTGTATTTGCATAAATCTTGATTTAAATGAGGGTTTAATGTATTTCCTATTTTTCGTAAAAATTTCATGAAATGTTTTGATAGCCTCATTTGATTTCATTTATTATAGATACAATATGATTATTGGATATCGTACCTCGAAATGAAAACGATTTTTATAGAGCCACTTCGTTTTTTGAAGTTGCTTGTCATCGTTGTTCGTGCGTAAAGTGTTTTCTTAAAGAAAAAAACCATCCTTGCCACGATATGTATCACCTTGTCGTAGTAGGGCCACATTAGCGCCCGGCAATCCAGCCGGGCTAGAAGCTAAGAAACACGCTAGTGGGTGGCCCTGGTACTCCTCTAATAAAAGTGTAGACCGTAGGAGTAACCGTGGTCAACTCGGTAGGCCAGCCGTCAGGGTGTCGTGGTTAAGTGCTTTAGTGATCTTGCAGCGCCATATTAAAACGGGGAAGATTCCGTTAGGTTTTGGTGGGTTGTATTAGTTTCTCTGAGACCCATATAACTACATGTATATACGCAGGTCATATGCGTAGTTGCATGTTCAAACATTTAAAAACATACTGTGTTGCTTTAGATCTATCTGTGCACTAATTTCATGCAAATCCGCCGCCGCCGCCGCGCTGTTCAATGCTAAGGAATAACAAACATACGCACAGAACAAACAAATTTTCGGTATCTAAACTAAACTCACAGAGTTAAATCCTTACGATTTTATGATCCAGCTTTACACGCTTGACCTAGAATAATGAAATTTGCAGAAAATACGAACAAAGAAAAAATTGTTTACATATAGTTAAGTAAACTATGTACTATAAAAATATTTTTGATTGTTATAATGTTATAAAATAATGCTATTAAAATTGTTGATGTACTCCGTTATTTAGTGTAATTAAATTTTTTGTCGCTCACTACACCCAGCAGACTGTCTCTATTGAAAAAAAAATGTCCATCATCTATAGGTATTAGGTACTAATATTACAAAGAGGCAGAGTTTGTTCGTTTGAACCGGCTAATCTCAATAATTTCTAATGCCATTTGAAAAATTCTTTTTGCATTATTAAAGTTTATTGAGGAACGCTATAGGCTATATATCATATAATATATAGTCTAACTATTCCATACTAACCGTTAATATTTTTATACAAATTTAAAATAATTTTGTTATTGCTTTTAGCTAGTTATTTTTAAATTCAATAATTCTTTACAGAAAGTAAGAAAGTGTTTCAACCGGAGGTTACGAGACAAGAGAAATACCTATCTCCAGATATGAACCGACGTAGACTTATTGATAGAGCTAAAATGAAGTCTCTAAGGATGTCTGTTGTAATCGTTACCGCTTTCATTATCTGGTGGATGCCTTATTACGTAATGATGATTATTTTCACGTTCTCAAATCCTGATAAAAATGTAAGTAAAGTTTATGGTATAATTTTATGTAACAAGTATCTAATATATTATTTAATACTCTGGCATAGAGATAGCGTAAAGTTATGTATATATTATGTTTTATTTTCTACTAGCACACAAACACAACAAAAACAAATCTATCCCACGGGAAGCATACATTTTTCCAGGATAAAAGTAGTTTATTTGTCATTCTGATGTGTGAACTATATTATTGTAAAGTTTCATTAATTAAATCCAATCAGTAGTTTTTGTATACTAAGCTTTATTATTTACTATAGTTTTTAACCACCCCACGGGAACTCTTTAACTTTCCGGGGTGAAAAGTATCTAAAATGTTGACCAGGGGTTGAGGTACCAGAATGCAAAATTTAATTAAAATCGGTCTAACAGTTTTGAAGATAAGCCCGTACAAACAGACAAACAGACAGAGAAACAAAAAAAATGAAAAAATCTGGATTAGTTCTATTTCTCTACTTACATCCCCCTGACTCGGTTTTTAGCTAATTTTTTTCTATATACAGACATTTGACCTGTACAGTTTTATTATATGTATACATTTAATTTAATTCTGGTCTGGTAAGAGAAGCTCAGAATAAATGAAGTTAGAAAGTCAAACTCTCTATTTTTGTTTACCTCTTTGCTAACATTGTGTGAAAGTTGCATTCAAAAGCTTAGGCAAGCTTTGTCATAAAAAATATCTATATACATATGATAAAATTGTAACTAAGTCGAATCTGTACATTAAATATTTTTTGGAAAATCTGATTGAAATAGACATTATTATCGACACAGAGTCCGAATCTATAGTTTTTAGAATTTTTGTCTGTCTCTCTGTTACCGCATCACGAGAAAACCACTAGACAGATTTTGATGAAATTTGGTATGATGATAGCTGGTTATCCGGGTCAACATATAGGATACTTTTAACTGCTGGAAAATATCTCATTTCTTAGAAAAAATACAAAACTGCAATGTAAGAGTATACTAATATGTAAAACCAAGAACTGGCGCGGGCAGTGCTAGTTATTTACATATATTCTCTATAATAAATTATTTATGTATATTGCAGCAAAGCGAGGATCTACTGTCAGGAATATTTTTTTTCGGAATGTCAAACAGTCTAGTCAATCCCGTGATATATGGCGCCTTTCATTTGTGGCCAAAGAAAAAACGATCAAGGAATAGTGACAGGTAAAAAAAGAAAATATTATTAAGTCTCTTTGCATACATATATTTTATTTTTATTGTACCTCTAACATGTTGTTGGCCTCTAATTGTGTTTCACTTGTGTACTTTTATCTCAATTACATCTGTTTCCAATGTTTTGCATATTTTAAATACAAAGTACTATAATTTAGTAGGCAATAATATATTTTTTATAAAAGTATGTACTGAGTCGTGAGTATTCTATTTACATTAGTGCTTGATTGAGATAAATATTGACAATATATTATTCTCTATAATCTTATTGCTAGGTATCGATTATACCCCATTACGACCTCGTCATTTATCGTTTCCTACAAAAAACATATTAAGTAGTAATCATAGTAATTCGGTAAATAAGAAAGAAGCAGCCACGAGGACTGCCGACAGCAGTGAAAACTTAAAACTATAAACAAACGGTTGTTATTTTTGGATATTCAAATTAATTGTTTGATCTTAAATTAAAATTTGTTTATTAAAACTGTTTACATTTATCTGGTTTTGACATCTATCGGCACACTGAGTGCTACCATTAACACGTCACGTGACCATGTCGATGACGACCTACATGAATTTACTTCTTACTTCCCATCCAAGCCTGCCTATAGAAGTTTTCACTTCAAAAACTTATGTTGCTTTTCAAATAATGAAAATATATGATACAATATAAACAGACATGACAGACATAACAAAATATATATCAATGCAATATTTTAACAGTCACGTTGCCGTGTGACGTGCTCTAGTAATAGCATTTCGCGATACTCACAATTGGAATAAAATATCGTCAATAATCAAATACTACCTTCGTTTCGCCGGCATTCATCTATTTTACATTTTAACGTAAACGAATTAAACAAATGAAACCATCATAATATGTATATATTATTCCGGAATCCGCAAAAAAAAATGGCGGTGGTATCCCAATGTTTCCTATATCTACATTGCCGAATATGTAATAATCATAAATATGAATGTAGTTTAACCTTAACATATTCTTATATTACAGGGAATCTGGTGGTCGCCACGCATCTTTACTACGACGTGGTGACCAAACATCATCAGTGAGGATGACCACAATACGCTCGCTGAGATCATCATCGAAATATTCCAATGGTCAAAACGTAAGTTTATTATAACTTATCAGTAACATTGGACTGAATCATTAAGGCGACGAAAAAACAAAAAAAAAACAAAAAACTATTACAGTGATATTAAACTAGTCATTAATGTGAAAGTGTTAATTAAAACCTAGTATTAGCTTACGAGCAATTAAAAGACTTTAAACCAAACATAATTTTATTTTAAAAAATAATATTTAAATTAGTATTAAAGATATTAATTTATTATATTTGTAATGTGTAATAATTGTAAATAAAGGTATTATTAAAATTAATACTATATTTTATTTTCCACCTTATTTAAATTGGTATACCTAATGTATATTTTAATGGTCGGTTAATCAATTTTTAAATAATTATAAAATTTTAAATAACTCATTGCAGGGAAAAGATTATTGGGCCATTTTATTCGAATATTTTTTTTTAAATATTTGTTGTTATTTGATATTTTGTTCCAGTAATAAAAGAATCTTGAGTCAAATCTGTAAAATATTTCATTTCTCATTATATAATATATAAACCTTGTTTAAACATGGAATATAATATGAAAATCTTATTAAAATAGAGATCTTACTAATTAATTATTAATATAATTATGAAGAAATTAGTCAAAACATAGGACTATCATGAATAACTTTATCATTAATTTTCAACATTTAATAAGCATCGGCATGATTGTTATTATTTTCAATAGAAATGAGTAAATGTATTCAAAACAAAATTAGAAACACGTTAAATACATTTGTATGTTTGAATTAAATTTCTGGTAAAAGATAACTTCAGTTATAGAAATTTAAATGAAGATAAATATTATTTTAAAGTCTTTTCAATTTCCCTAACTTTGTTAAATATTATTAATATTTGTTACTTAGTATTTGATAAGGCCATTTTCACAGGTATTTATTTTGACGTGTAATCTAAGCGTGTAATTATTACGTATCTAATAGAGAGCGTAAGCAAGCGTTATAATATCTGCAAATGGTATAAATAAAAAGGAAAATCATTTTAACATAATATTTTGTCAACTTGTGCAAATCAAAATTTACATTTTACAAGCAATCGCAACTTTCCTAACGAGACTACTCTTGAACTGTGAAATTGACTTGATTAACATCGAAGTCATTTTAGGCTTATTCGCACTATGTACTTGTTCACAAATTCCATGTCTGCTGTAATTAGAAACTTCGAACATTCGAAGTAAATGAGGAATATACTTATTTCTATGTTGATACGCATACATACACTCATATAGTACATAGTATGTGAAGGATGAAATTATTTTTGTAATAATAATTATTGTCAATGAAGAAGTTTAGGTTTTTTATGAATATAAATTAAAATTTAAGCTAAACATAAAAAATAATAAATCTTAGGTTATCTCAAAAAATACGAATATATTATAAGCATTTAAAAAATCCTCAGTCTCAGCATTGGTAAATTATCACTTTATTCTTTCACAAAGCTTTTTTCAATTTTAGTAAAACGTGACATTCAATTTAACGTTAAAAATTTAAACAAATGCATTTAAAGTAAAATATGATCACATCTAGTTACTACCTATTTTAGGAAATTTTTCATTATGCAATTGCGTTGAACATTATTATGCTTAAAAAAAGCTGTTTTTATTTGTCTTTCAACAATTCGTATTTTTCTGTAAACCTAAGTTTTGAAAAGTTTTACTTAATCCTATCTAGAAATCTATTTTCAGCTTTCAACTTCAGCAAGTTAATGCCACTACCGGCAACTTTTGTTAAATCTTCCAGAAGTTTTATCTCGTATAGTTTTTGCCTGCGGCTTCATTCGCGTGGTAAGTGGAGCAGGGATCAAGTGTCCGTCCCCAAGATGTAATTATGTCCCTGCCAAATTTTATCGAAATCTGTTCATCAGTTTAAGAATGAACAGGTTCGAGTTACTTTCACATTTATACTATTAGTATGGATATTTACATATTTTTGAGAAAAAAGATCATTTTTGGTGTGAACAATTAAATCGTAAATAATACAAATTCAATTACTAATGTACTATTTTACATTTCGCTTCTTCCTTTTATGAGCTGTCCAAGACAAGGATTAAATGACATATATATATATATAATAAATATATGGACAATTCTTATATTACTAACTTTGTAAATGTTAGAATATGTAATCATTTTCATTTCTTTTAGCAATGTAGTCATGTTCAATGTGATTTTTACACCATTTGATATTTTGACCGAAGAAGTTATATCAAAGTTTATATAAAAGAAGAAGGTAAGATATATATATATGTATATATATATACATATATATATATATATATATATTAGTTCAATTCAATATTGACACTAGTTTAATATAACCGATTAAAAGTACTGCCACCATTCGCTTTATTAAAAAAATAATTTTTTTATTGTATTAAATTCTTTATGTGTACTATTCGAATAGTGTAACTCATAAAATTTAAATTAAAGCTGACACTGATAGTTCTCTTCATCCTTAATATGCATACGACAAACATGCCTGAACCGAGATTAACTTAACCCAACTCAAATAAATGAAACTCCCACGCGACTGTTGTCGCAGTAGAAATGTCTAGCGCTATAACAATTTTCAACATGAGACATGATTAAGAAATTTGTAAAATAATATTTTATGATAGTAATTCATACTATTTGCATGGTTTCAAAGAATTATTAAAAGATCACTATAAAGGCAAATAAAATCTTACCACAAAAATATATTGTAAAATTCCAGCTCAGTGTTTTTATGTATTTAGCATATTTTTTGTTCTAAAGAAAATTAGCTTTTCAAAATGTTTAACTACAAAACCGACTCAATCTTACTATTTTTATTTCTTTATTTTACTTTCTTTCGGGGCCCACCATGGGAACGATGATGGCATCCATATCAAGTTAATGCCGTTATAACTTTCGGATGGCAATGTCAGCCTGATAAATCTCTTCAGGACATGGCTTAGCTTGACTAGACTTGAAATGCTAGTTGTATAAAAAAAAGGTGAAAAGGCCTGAAATAGTAGTAATTATATTCTACATAATTACTTCAAGAGGTAAAAGTAAGGATATGACTTGTTTAGTAAAAAAGTAAGTCTTCGATTCAACAGTCTGACTGAGGAAATAAAATTCTAACTAAAGCTATAAAAAGACTAAAAAAGCTCAAAAGAACTTCGCCATTATACCATAAACTTAGCGTTAAATGTCTGAATAAATGAAAATGAATATTTTACTTTGCTGCGAATATTCGAAATTCTAGAGATTTAAACTATTAAATTTTATTCAATTTGTTTGAATAGTTGTATAAATTATTACACCACACGTAGTGTTAAGCCGGGGGGTTAAAAATTTGAGAACATGTCGCTTCCCTGTTTTAAAACAGTCGTGATCCTGTCTAAAGATAATAATAATTAAAAGTTAAATTTTACTTTTTTATACTGAACTCACGCTCGCTCTGCTCGGGTTCGTCCCCAGATGCGTTTTAACGGTTAGTATAGATTTCTGAGAGATGAGATATTAATCAATGAAATCAATCATCAATAAAAAGTATCCTATATGTTGACTCGGATAGCCAGCTATCATCATACAAAATTTCATTAAAATCTGTCTCGTATTTCATCATCGGACATCGCGCCAAAATAGTAAATTCCATCCACACCACATCGATGTCCAGCATTCCACAACAGTGCGATTTTCAAGGCATTTTCTGCCTTGCACAACCACTCTGTGGAACCAGCTATCGCTGGCGGTCTTTCCGAACCGCTACGACTTGGCCACCTTCAAGAAGAGAGCGTATTCCTTCCTTAAAGGCCGGCAACGCATCTGCAAGCCCTGCGGTGTCGCAGATGTCCATGGGCGGCGGTGATCACTTTCCATCAGGTGAGCCTCCTGCCCGTTTGCCCCCTTAGTCCCATAAAAAAAAAATGCATAAGCTAATATTATGTATATCTCTTTCAAGGGGAAGAGAACTAACACTTAAAAACTATAAAAGTATAGTAGTACAATTTTTATTATTCATATTTTATTCTCAAAACTTGTGTTTTAATTTAACTAATACATATGTTTACGAGTATACATATATAACATTTTTCGTATTCTTTAATGAAAATTTTAAACAGTCTGTCAAAGGGTAGCCATCACGAAGCAACGTAATTATTATTTTTAATAGCTATACGGATATTTTTTAGGATTCATAACTCTAGTTACGGTACTCTAACTTTTATGTCACTTGATAACAGAATAACATACGTTCTAACACTATCACTCCGTCCTCACTTCAAAAATAAAATGCGCTCGTAGAATTTTTGGCGTCACATTTTTATAAATAGACGTAGAGTATAAAAAATATTTCATTTAGCTTTCGGCACTATAAATCATAATTATACACACGTAATACAGTCGTAAGCTATTTTTGGTAAATTAGTATAAATATGTAGTTTACATGATACGTGGGTAATGTGAAATCTAAAATAAGCTTTTTGAAAAAGTCTAATTGAATAAGATTTTCAATTTCCAGTCTTAATTTAAATCCAATCTTAATCTAAATTTACGAGTAGGTACATAATAATAGCTCAAAAGTGTAATATAATAATTTCTTCTAAAGAACAATCAGCTGGTATAGTTTTCATTGCTACTCGAGTTTAAAGAAAAAATTAATATACCCACGTTTCTTTGAAATAGAAAAATCTTTATATCTTAAATGGAAATATGATCTATAAACTTAATTACGTACAGCATCAAAACCGCGAATTCAGCAGAGGCATACGTACTCAAGCGGGTATTACGTGCCAAGTCATTTGAATAAACCTACCAAATACAGTTAATTAAGGATATACTTATCTGACAACATATATAATATTGTACATGCTATATGTAAGTATAAGAATATTATATGTAGTTTGAATTATATGTAAAAGTGTTTCACTTGTAATAATATTCGATTGACGACCATAACAACCATTAAATGAAAGCTTATACGAGAAGCTTTTTACTTGCACAGGATCAACTTTCTGTGGTTCAGTAA